GTCCATTTACCAGTTTTTATTTTTTAATTTTTCAAAGTTATGGGTGGACTATAATACATTGAACATCCAGTAGGAACTCAATCAATACTGCACTGAATTGAACTGAATCATGTCCACAGCTCCATTCAGGCAAGGCCATCTTTTCCAATTTCTCAGTTTATCACCCTCACTGGTTCCCTGACTCTGTGTTCACTCTCTTCCTGACCCTAAGTTCACTGGCACCGCTTTAATCACTCAGTCTTCTTGGTCTATCCCCTGCAGACAAGCTTGTTTCAGCTTCCTCCAGACCCTGGATCACCAGCTTTCTTTGCCAACTTTGTTTTCTTCCCTTTCAGTTCATCTAGTACAGTGACCCAGGAGTCTCCTATGGCTGCCCAAGTACCTTTCTTAGGGTAAAGGCTCAGGGACTATTTGTTGAATAAATTAATAATTTACTATCTTATAATGATTTTAGCACCCACTAGCTTAAAACAATTATCATCTTTTGGATATTTTCTATATTTTAATGAATGCAATTTTAAACTCTTCTTGATAAGGCAAAATGTATTAGTTTAAGAGCTTTCAAACATTACATTTGTACTGTTTAATTCTGAGTCAAAGAACATGCTTAGAAGTCAGGCTTAAAATGCTGTCTGGGGTAAACATTCTATAAACTTTCAAAATGATAGCTCATTTTTCAATGCCATGGTCTATAAATTTATCATATTCCTAAAATTATGTGATATAATGGTGATAATTAGCATTGCTGTAGACAAAGCTTCTTTTTATAATATAAAATAAATGTAGAGCTCTGCCCCCTTCATTTAATCAAACCAAGGCCACTTTGACCTTTCAAAAAGATATTGATATTAAATGATTAAATATGGGGCTTTCCCAACTTCATTTGAAGACTGGAAGTACTAGTAAGGTGACGTGTAACTCTTTCACTTTAAACATTCCATCACAACATTTGGGAAAATAATCGTACTTCCACTTCACTCACAACTGCTCAACTGTTTGATAAGACACAAAGAGCTGGATTCATCAAAGTGATGATAGCAGGTGGTCTTTCAAAATTTTAACCACTAAAAATGCATTTCTATTAATTTTTATCTTCCTCCAAATATTAATGAATAGTTCCAGTGATAATTAGCAATTTTCCCTAATTACAGAAAATTGGCACTTCACAAATAACAAACTCTGATATTATCTAGTATTGTGCCAGTTTTCCTATTAATTTGGAAATTCAGCAATTATCACCAGAACCATGTAGGTTAAAGTGTGTCAGATTCTGGATAAACAACCTAAAATACCCAACCATATGAGTTTTGATGTCAGGTAAAGTTCAATATTGACATTTGAAGAAAAAAATATGTTAGTGACCAAGCCTTGCTATTGAAGCACTATGGGAAAGCTTTCCAAGTTTATTTCAGCCTAGCCCCTGCAGATGACATCAGGTGCAAAACCTGGACAGTTTGTCTCATTGTAAATTTGAAGAAAATAATACAAAAGTTTAGAAAATTTCTCAAATTCGAAAGCAGCATATATTAAAGGGCTATATGATATCTTAAGTGTACATTGATTTAATTTTCTTCTAAATCCAACAAAATTTAGGAAGACAAGAACCCTTCAGTATCTTTATCAGTTGAGAAATAACAAACACTTCATGTACTTATCAACTCCTGACATGCAAATATTTTTGCTGAATGTCAACCCAACTATACATAAACTCTGTGTTCTTGAGGTGCAGCTTGGTGTTAAGAAGTCAGGAGGTGGAGAAATGCACTGTTTCTTTTTTAATTTTGGAGTAGTTTAATGCTGACCAATCAGAAGCCTATAATTAACTCTGGACAATGCTAGGAATTTTAAGATCAATATCATTTTTTCATTTTAATTGTCATGTAACTCTCAGCACAATGTCACATACTTTTATTCAGAATGAATCTTCACAAGTTCAACAGTTGAAAGCAAATACATGATTAGGCCTCTCAGCTTTCAGAAGACTTTGCTGAACTCAATGGTTCTGAGACCAAAATTTGGACTGATTTTGCATGCCACCAGTGTAACTGGTTTTTAAAAATGTATACAATTCCGTACAATGAATCAATTTACCAGAAGTCAAATCAATTTGATGGATTTCTTAATTAAATTGACATGTAGTATGTATGTCACCCCTCGTCCCAAAAGGAAAGATGAGTTCAGGTGACAAGGGAGCTAAAATTTCTGTTAAAGTGATACATCAAACTAGTTTCCAATAAGACCATTCAGAAATTAAGAACAGATTAAAAGTCAAACTATGACTACATTGAAAAATATCACAGTTTTTTGCCTATTTTCATGGAGAAAAGACAAGAGAAGAAATAGACTTACATTCTAATAAAATAAATTTAAATCACATCAAAACCAAATCTTCCAACCCTTGAGAGTTAGGAAATAATGAAATGCATTAGATAGAGTGAGATAGTAGAAAATATTTTTTTTCTTCTGATATTATTTCCTTTCCATCAGAATTTAGAAATGAGGGGGATTAGTTTTTGAATCATTCCCCTACGAAAAAAGAAACATCGCAATGGTTCTCCATTTTTCCTCTGAAACAAGTCCAGTCCAATAGCATTGATGCCACCTAACCTATTCGAACGTCCCTTCCTATTCCCCCTCCACTCTTTCTCTGACACAGACACTGCATCTATTCCTATCCACTGCAGCTGTAACTTAGATGGCCCTTTCTTCTTTTCTCTATTTATGCAAATCTCATCATATTTTAGCAAGTCTACATACTAACATTGTATAGAATATATCATATAAACCAATGCTGCTTCCTCCAGTTAGACAGTGCAGTTGAACATATTTCCTCTATCTGAATCCTATCAGTATTTATATTTCCATCTAAAATCCCACCTCTTTCTTGAAACTTTTTCTAAAAACTCAAGTGACAATGACCTCTCCTCCCTGACAGTCTCATAATACCATACACATTGTAGCATATACTCGACATACAAATTTGATGTTAGAATTTTATTATTTCACTAACTAGTACCATCTTCTAGTTATTTTTCGTACATGAGACTTGTCACCCTAATAAGAGTACAGCATCATTGAGGGCAAGAACAAATCACACTTCTTTTGTATCATGGAAAGACCCCAGTAAGAACTTGGCAGAAGAGTGTAATGATTTATAGTAAAGCACAGAGATTGGATCAGATACTATTCTAATCATTTATCACTTACCAGATAGTTTATGTGGTATAAGTTGTTAAGTTTCATCTGTAAAAGGGACAGAGTACTTTCTAACCTCAGTTATTTGTTGAGGGAATTGAATAAAATAATTCAAAAACTAGAAATTTATAAGTTTAGGGTAGGATGGTAAATAGTAGGAAGCTATTATTATTTTGTCATAGGCTGTCTTACATTATAACTTACATTTGTATTATAAATATTTGCATTCTAATTTGAAGACAGAGGACTCAATCTGAAGCCTATTTTATTTTTTAAATAAAATACTGTATGCCTTTTTATTTCATGTTTTTTTTAAATAGCACTTGAATGCTTATTACCTATAGGCCATCTCATTTCTTCATGTAACTGCTGTTTTTCCTTTTATCTAAGGTGTCTAATCATCCTGGTTTGTCTAGAGTAGTGGGAGATGTCAACATAATAAACAAGTGTGATCTAACTATATACAACAAATAGAGAATACATACATGTTTTCTCAAGAAAATCTAAAGCATTTACAATACTTGATTATTATTAAGATTATAAAGCAATACACAAAAAAATCACAGAATTATCATCAGACTAACCATATATTCTGACCACAATTTTATTAAGTCAATAAATTTTAAAACACTATATATTTGGAAATTAAAAGACAAACAGGCACTTCGTTAAATAACTCAGGGGCCAAAGAAGAAATAATGATGGAAAAATAAATTAAATTATAATAAACTATAATTAAATTTTATTACTAAAAGGTAATAATAAGAATATGAAAAGTTTGCAAGATAGTAAAAACAGTATTTACAGGAAAATTTAGAGTTTTAAAATTCTTACTTTGGAAAAGAGAAAAAGCTAAAAATTAATAGGTATCCAATTTTAAAAGTTATAAGGTATAACAAAATAAATTCAGACAAATTAAAAAGAGGGGTAAATAAAATTAAGGGTACTAATCCATAAATATTTTTAAAATCCTAGAAAAAATCAATCAAAACAAAATTTTTAAATCCTAATAAAGTAGAAAAAAATGTTAGCTAGACTGTTCAAGGGGAGAAAAGATGTTTATAAATGAATAAACTAAACTGGGCATGGTGGCTCACGCCTGTAATGCCAGCAGTTTGGGAGGCCAAGGCGGCAAGATCACGAGGTCAGGAGTTCAAGACCAGCCTGGTCAATACGGTGAAACCCCGTCTCTATTAAAAATACAAAAATTAGCCACCTGTAGTGGTGCATGTCTGTAGTCCCAGCTACTCGGGAGGCTGGGGCAGAAGAATCACTTGAGCCCGGGAGGTGGAGGTTGCAGTGAGCCAAGATTGCACTAGTGCACTCCAGCCTGGGTGACAGAGTGAGACTCCATTTCAAAAAAAAAAAAAAAAAAAGAATAAACTATATTAGAATTGAATTGGTGCCAATAAGACAAGAATTGCAAATATAACTATCTGTAAGAAAAAATTGTGACGTGCTTTTGCCAGCATATCACAATTTGAAACTTTTGATGAAATAGACAAAGACTTAGACATATATAATATGAAAAGGAGTTAGAAAGAATGAGAAAGCTTGAAAAGTCCTGTAACTATTAAGGAGGCTGAAATAGATGTTTAAAATCCTCACACAATAAAAGTACAGACAGTTGTGTAAGTTAATTCTACCACCACGTTTTAAGGTAGATACTGTCTTTCATAATGTTATATTGCTCTATCATAAAACAGAAAAAGGCGGAATGCTTCCCAATCCACAAATGATATTCGTCTAACGTAACTATCAAGTACCTTGTATGAGAAATGCAAATTACTCCCAACCCTACTTACCATGTAGACAGTTTATATGAGTGAAATTTTTGTCTCATAATGGGTCATCACTGGACACTGTAGTACTTTAAAATCAAGGGAGAGAAGAATAACCATGTTATTTAAAAATTTGGGTATAACCAATAAAACTAACAACAGATACAAAAATGTACCCTCCGGTGAGTAAGAAGAGAGTTGGTGTGCAGGAAAACTTCCTGAGCACATTTGAACTGTTTGACCTATAACCGAATGCTAAAATGTGTATTTTATCAAAAACAAAAGAAGAGAATGTGTGGTTAAGAAATAAAGATTGCAATGGGAATATCGTATTTGCAAGAAGAGAAATAAGTCAAGGGGTGTCTGAAAGTTTAGATCTTGTGTTCTTCCTCCATTATGAAGCTTCCTGTTTCATGGTTGTCTGGGACAGCATGAACATGGAACTAGAACTCACATACAAGCACTATGTCAGTCAGGGTTCATATCTTTAGATCTTTCATCCATTTTTGAAAATAGTGATCCAAGGCATTGCTCTAAAATAAGTTGTCTCCTTTCTCCACTTTGTTTTGTGTTTCTTGAATCACTCTAATTATTTGGATAAATGTACACTTTTCTTTCATTTGCTATTATAAGTAGCTTAATAACATGGTAGACACCCAGTAAACATAACTTTTTCTCTGTCTGTTTGTGCTCTCTAACCCACTTGCTGCTTTTCAGTGGAAGAATTGAGTAGGGAGATAGGATAAAATTCAATTTTGTAGACTATAGTTGAGCACTGTCATTTCCTTAAAATGCATATTTTGTATTACTACAGCCCATGACTGATATTTACATTCCAGAGTTTTCCTTAATATGTAATAAATACTCCATTCTGTTTATATATTCTTAATGAACTAGTATGTTGGAATTATTTCATTGCATAAAATAAATCACATTAAATCATTTTTTGTGGATGCCAAATTAAGGAGCACCCAAATAGTTATAACCTACCAAGGATCAAAATTACTCAAATTAGTACAAATAGAGAAAACAACAGATAGGAGCTCTGAATTCTTGAATACCTTTGCTCTGTTGCTATTATTGTATGCAATGACAAAAAGAAATCCCTCTTGTGATTCTCACATTAATAAAACATTACAGACAGCGCTCAATGTCTTTAATTATGTCTATTTCTGAAAATATTGTTATTATTTCTATTTTCCTAGCTATAGACAGCTTTTTCTTAGCTCTTACAGCTAACAACAGTTTCTATTTCGCAGGGAATGAGGTAAGTCCAAATGAGCTCTGGGGAAGAAATGATCCCCGAAAATATTTTCTAACATCGGAAAGGTAACTTCCTTGGCCATTAATCTTTAGGGTGCAAAGTGGTGTTAATTTCCTTTAGTTGCTTGAAACAAATTAGAAATAAAGACACCCAAGTAGGCTCAGCCAAGGAAGAAAAAAAGCATCATATGTTCAAGTATAATACTGCAGTTCAAAATGAAACTGAATTTTGGAGTCACTGTCCTTTGGGTCAGATGAAAGAGAACTGAAGATCAAGTGATACTCTCCTTTTTTGCTAAACTTTTGTTACTGCAGAATGTTGAGGTGGGATCTTAAATTATTTTCTGTATTTTGTGACTGCTGTGTAGCATTCTAGAGCCTCCTATGTAAAGAAAATTCATGACAATCAAATATGAAGTAAGAAGTGGAGACGATGAATCCCCCATCTAAGATTATTTGGACCAGCAGCCAGAGAAGATGCTATACGATGTCTAGAGTTCATTACAGGTTTATGAGTCAAAGGACCAAGAAGTAAACACAAAATTCATATGCCTTCAATTACTGAGGTGGTAGCTAATAGGCGAACAAGAAATCCAGACACTTGGCTGAATATTTCTCATTTTATCAGGATTTCTGAAATCATTCAGATGTTGAAATTTTATTCCACTTTCCTATAAACGATAAGTGTGTGCACCTGCTTAAAAAGTTCACTTAAAAGAAATTTGATGAAAGATTTGATGGTTTGATCATTTCCTATTTCCTCCAGCCTGTGGACATTTGGCAATGCACAGTAAAATAGGGTCTTCACAGAGCATGAGTCAAGCATCTATGCCATTTTTCATCACCATCTAAAGTCTGAGCCTATTGAACAACAGATATTTAGACTAACTTTGTGAGAAAAAAAATGAACTCAGTAGTCTATAACCTGTAAGTTATTGTGGGGTAGGGAAATAATAACTCTGAGAAATAAAAAAGAAAAGGAAACATACTCCCCAGAGGCATTAGCTCTATTCTTTCTTTCCTTCCGTGTCATATGTCGTAATTTATAACGTGGGATAGCTCTGCTTGCACATAGATATTTCAATAAAGTTGTTGAAATTCAGATTGTGAACCTCACTACACTACCTTATGGAATTTTTATATTTATGCATTCCTCTACACAGGAGCTTTCTCTATGGATGGGATGAATGCTGCCTGTTTGTGAAGTCCCAAATGGGTCTTCTTGTGACAAAGCCTATTATGCTATCACTACATTTCCATGTCTTTGAGTCCTGAAAACTTTCTGTATTCAGAAGTTCCCGATTATACTTGTACCCAACACTCCTCAAGTCTGTGTTTCTAAAATTGCAGTAGATGTACCACCTGGCACATGCAGAATTATGTCAAGGGAATGAGAAACTATATAGTAAATATGACATCTCCTCCTGGAAAATAAATTTTACTTGAAAATTTTGAGGCAGACAGTTAAGTAATTTGAATGATAATTTAAACATGTTTTATATTTTAAAATATATAGTTATATTGTGGAATTGAATGCTAAATGTGTATGAATTGTTAGGCTAAAACCAAAAACTTCAAAGAATTTCAAGGACACAGGTTTTGCATTAGTGAATCAGTAAGGACTTTGTGTATGTTCATTTCAAATGGCAATGTGTGTCCAAAGTGGTTTAAACACAAAAGGAACAACTTTACTTATATAAATAAAAAGCCTGTGGGTGGGACCGGCTTTAGGGTTAGCTTACCTGGACGTTTTTCTTCATCTCATTTTACAATCTTCTCTCCTCCATATTGACTTCATTATTATAAACAAAAGATGGATGTCAGAGAGCTCTGCTTCAAAATTCAGGGAAAAAAGCAAGAATCATTTTTCCTAGAAGTCCCGGGGGGAAAAATCTTTAAGTCTCACTGGATCAAGTTGTGTCACTGAAGTAGTCACTGTGGCTAGCTGAATAATGTTCTGATTGGCCAACCTCATGCCCACAGTAGAACTTCAACAAAAGTCTATAAATTGAGAGTACAAGAATATTCCTCGACCCCCAAATAAATTATTGTATACTTTCCAGAATGAAGGTGAACAGTGTCAGGTGGCATGCTTCACACATGCACATGCACACATGTACACACACGCACACATGAGCTATACATGCACACGCATGCACACACAGAGCTGACCACCTGAGACCACTTACTTCATCCCATAAACACCCAGCCCTTCCCAGATTGAGTTCTGTTACCAACGGTACATAGATGGAAAAATCTAAGAAGCATGGTTTTAACTTTTCCACTAGAACTTAAAAGCTGGTAGAACCTAGCCAGGCTCCCTGGCAATAGGATAGAAGTAACTACATGAGAGGCTTCAGGAATGAGCCCTGATAACAAGCATAGAAGAGATTTTGATCTATATGCCCGCCCAACACTTGATTTTGTTTCATGCCTTTCCCACCTAATCAGTTCCTGATTGGAGGAAACCTAGCTGACTTAGTCAGAATAGGCAAAGCTGGAGAAATGTTCGCAGGACGAGAGGCTTTTTGAACCCATCTTCAAGGTTGGCCAAGACAGTTGCAAACAGTATAATGAACCATAGTAATGACACTGCAGAGACCAATAAAATGCAAGATGATCAATGCTGAGCTCAGAAAGCATCTGATCATCTGGGTAAACCACACAACTGGGAAATTCCTTGGCAATGGGATGAACTTTGTGTCTCTTAAAACTTCAAAAGCAGTAAATGCTGATCCACATGCTATAGCGTTGCACCATATATTTCCAAGTTTGTTTTTCCCAAAGAGCAGAAATCCTGCTCTGCCTCAAGGGATTATGTTGAGAATATGTTTTTTTGCAATTCATTTGCTAATTTCTACTTGCTAAAATTGATTAAGAAATACTGTAGGCTACTGGCATCATTTGGTCAGCAGCTAATTGAGAACAATAGATATTAGAGAAAAGGTTAACTGCTGGGGTTTCTGGAAAGGGAAAGGAGCCCTTGAAAAATTATGGCCACTAAAAATCTTTGCCACTCTCTCTGCCACTTTCTTTGCCCTGCACAATTAAAGGAATTTTTTCACTTTATAATTCATTGAAGAGACATTGAGTATTACTTTTGTTTCTTTCCATCTTCTGTAGGCTGAGTGGTATTTCCAGCAATATATTCATTTTATGACACACATATTTTTGATGCATATGACTTACCATGTATCTAGTTATTGGTGTAAGCATCAATTTTAAAGGTTAGCTGAACTCTTAAATGTTATTTTTAATTTTTTTCTTGTAGTTTAATCTTCTTATTTAAACCACCTTAGCTTTAGTTTGTGAAGAAAAAATCCATAATACTTTACATCATGATGAAATTCTAAGAACACTTGTTCACCTCACCTTCAACTCAAATATTGTATAACCAAAATTATATATTTGTAAGTATGAATTTATAGCAGAGCTGTGTCTCTATTTAAAAGGCTGAGAATGTTAGAATAATAGGAAAATGCAATGATGCTATCTAAATACAAACACATATGCAATGCACATACAAAGAGACACACAAATTTGAATTATAAGCTATTTGCAAAAGGCACATCAAGAACATAACACCAAAAATTGGAAAATAAAGATGTATTAAATAAGAAAGGTAAGTATAACATAGTATTTTCTGACAGATAAAATTTGAAGTGACAAGCATCAAACAGGATAAAGATGAATATTTCATATCGCCAAATTGTACATTGATTATAAAGAGATAACAGTTTTAAACCTTTATGTACCTTACAGCAGAGCTTAGAAATACATACAAATAAAAACAAAATTACATAAAAGAGTAATAGAAAAACCTATAATAATAGTTAAATATTTTATTACACCTCTTCCAAAACTCAACAAATCAAATAAGGATGTCAATAACTTGAATTATATAGTTAATAATGTGATCCATTTTGATATAGGAGAATATAGCAAGTATGCAATTATGTTGATGTTCTAAGTTAAAAATTTTAGTGTATGAAAACAAGGTATAAAGATAAATTCATACAAAATAGTAAAAAACTATAATGGTAACTTTGAATTGAAAATAGTATGAAATTGTGACTATTTTCTTTAAGCATATGCATTTTCTAGTACTGTCCACTGATGAGGTTTAAAAGCAACAGTAACTCAGTAGCAAGGACAGCTCATATATGAAGACTGTGCTCCATAAATACCAAAGGTCTTTAGAGAAGTAGCTGGATACCTGCCTGAAGTATAAAATCTAGATTTTCCTGGGACATCTTGTTCCAGAAAGCAAGAACACTATCCCACACTAATGGAGTTGTGTCCAAATGACACAAGAACCAACATGGAGAAAGATAGGATACATATTACCAAAGCAGATGAAGTCTAATTACTGAAATCTATTGACTGGAAAACTCATGCATTTGAAAGAAAAAGCTAATTTATAATTACACTTAATAAGAGAAAGTTAAAATCATACAAACACAAATATTGCACATCATTGGAAATAACTATTACAACAGAAGAAATCTAGCATATAAATGTGGAAGAAAAGATAAAATTTTTTAAACTATTATATTTCAACCCCTAAACAAATAATTGACTTAGGTAGTGGTCATCAATAGATAAAACATGAAATAAAACTTGATGGCAAACTTAGCAATGGAAGGATCAATCTTTTACCACCTGAAACCGTTGATCAATTTTGACTTCTAAGAAGTAGAAAAACCATACGTTACATACCTTCTGAAGTTATCCAATATAAAATACATGTATCTATCTATGAAATATTCTTGCCCCCAAAAAGTTAAACATGAATCAAATCAAGCTTTTAAGAACAACTTTCCAATTTATAGAAAATATAGATTATACAAGATGTTATATGTCATTATGTGTAAGCAATAAGCAAATCAGAATATAAGACATTTTATATAACAGCTGAACTAGTTTCTTGAACAAGTTCAATGGCATATAAAAGCAGGGAGTAGGAGAAGATGGACTAGGTTAGAGTAAATCAACTTACATTATAAAACAACTCAATGCAATATGTGGACTTGGAGATCCTAATTAAAATATGTTAATTATAAAAAGGGACTTCTTGAGACAATTGAAGAATTCGACTTGTACCAGGTATTGGGTAAAACCAAAGATTACTGTTGATTTTGTTAAGTGAGATCGTGTCATTGTGGTTGTATAAAAAAAATCTTTAGAGATATCCCTAAAGTATGTGGGAGTTAAATGAAATGATACATATTATTTGCTTTTAAAAAATTCAGTAAAAATAAAATGAAAGAAAAAAAGAATTCAGAAAATTAAAAAGAAAGAAATAAAACAAGCTTGGTAAAATCTTTATCCAAACTCTTGACTCTAGGTGATGAGTACACATAGTTCATTTTACTAATCTTTTTTGTGTATTTTGTGTAATTTTTGTGTATTATGAACATGTTCATAATAGCATATTGAAAAGAGTGAAGCTTCTCAGATCTAGCAATCATCTTGTGAAAGGTGGCACTAGTAGTCATGTGGCTGTGTGAGGAAGGCTAGCGTCCAAGAAAATTGGTTTGGACTTGATGCATCTGCTGTTTCTCTATGTAACCACTTTCCTTCTAATTAGTTAATTCGTGTTTGGCTAAATACTTTGGAAATGCAATACAATATATGTGGGGAAGAGATCATGTCTTTAATACAATTTATAGTTCATCTAAAATACTACATAAGAGTAACAAAAGCATTCTACCTGCCACAACTGATTAAATCAGGATAAAATTATCGTTTTAGATTCTCAGATTTGATATCAAGAAACAGAAAAAATAAATTAGCCAATTATGAAACTCAACAATCTATTTCTTAATAAATTAACTCAGAAAAGAAAATATAAATTTTTGCTGACTTGATCCAAAAATAAATGAAGAGAGAATATAAAAAGACAGCATTAGAAAAAAAAATGGGACCTAGGGGACACAAAAGAAATGTTTAATTACAAGAAATACTATAAATATGTAGAAAATTTGAAAGGTTAAAAATTCAGCAAATATTACAAAATTGAGATTAGAAGAAATAGAACGGCCGGGCGCGGTGGCTCAAGCCTGTAATCCCAGCACTTTGGGAGGCCGAGACAGGCGGATCACGAGGTCAGGAGATCGAGACCATCCTGGCTAACACGGTGAAACCCCGTCTCTACTAAAATATACAAAAAACTAGCCGGGCGAGGTGGCGGGCGCCTGTAGTCCCAGCTACTCGGGAGGCTGAGGCAGGAGAACGGGCGTGAACCCGGGAGGCGGAGCTTGCAGTGAGCTGAGATCTGGCCACTGCACTCCAGCCTGGGCGACAGAGCGGGACTCCGTCTCAAAAAAAAAAAAAAAAAAAAAAAAAAAAAAAAAAAAAAAAAGAAGAAATAGAACGCTAGATTTGCAAAAATGTAAACAAAAGCTACATTTTTTCATTCTTTTTGAAAATAAGTTATTATTTTTCATAAATGTATATGCATGTTAAAATGTAATGCTGTTTTTATTTTTAAATGTAACAATAAACTTTTTAATGTTTTTTAAATTTCTAATAGAGTATCAACAAATAAATATCTAACTCACATAAACAAAATCATGTTGAGTGTAAAGGTATCACATGACCAGAAAGTTTGAAAACCACTGGTCTAAACATTCAAATTAAAAGGAAGAGATTGTCAGACTGGATTAAAAAAAACAAAACCCAACTCTACCTTGCCTATATAAGATACATTTAAATACAATGACCTACATAAGTTAATAATAAAACCATTTTTAAAAGCTATACATTTAATATAAATAAAAAGAAAGCTAGAATAGCTATGACTGTATCAGAGAACATAGATTTCAGAACAACGATTAGTACCACATTTAAGGAGGATATTTTAAAATGACAAAAGAGTTGTTTCACCAAGAAGACAGTTACAATAGTACTAAATGTGTTTGTGATGGCAGCAGCAGTCCATCTGGAGTGGCCGCTTGCATGATGCTGGCTATAGTGGGGGAAGCGCTGTTGGGGCTGTGTGCTCCATGGAGATGGTGGGAGCTGGGAACAGGCAGAAGTCCCGCCCCCTTCCAGTTGGAGGGGCAGAAGCCCCACCATTCTGGGCACAGCTGCGCATGCCCACCTGCATCTCCGGACCTGGAATCTCTGCACTCTCTCAGGTCCAGGAAGTCCCCATTTCCCCACAGGCTTGGAAGTGCCTGCTCCCACTGCCTGGCCTCTCCCGCTCCTGGCACCTGCTCCAATTTCGGAGTGAAGTTGTGGCTGAGCCTGGGCACTGTCACTACCTGGCCTGCTATGTGAGTGATCAGGGCAGTGCTTACACGCCAGTCCCCTGCTGCCTTAGTCCCCTGGCATACCCGCAAGCATGAGACGGAGCCCGAAGGAGGGCTAAGGGTGGCTCAGCATGGACCTGCAGGCACCCTTTGGCATCAACAGTCTGGGTGCCATGGGCACTGTGATGGCAGGTCAATGGCAGCAGGAGGCAAATAGGCTCCTGGGTGGAAAGGGGCAGATCCCCAGTGAAACCCCACCTTCAGGCCTGGAACAGCCTGAGGTCAGTGGGATGGGCTGCCAGTTGCCCAGACTGGAGTGAGAACTTATGGTGCTTTTTCCAGCCTATCCATGGCTGTCCATGGAACAATCAGCATGCACTTCCTCCCCTCTGAAACCAGTAACACTCCCCAACTCAGCCAGACTCAGGCAGACAATGGGATAACCTTCCTGCAGCGAGGAGCTTCCCACTGTGGGTCTCCTCTGAGTTGTTCTGTTCTCAATAAGGCACCTCTTCACCTTGTTCACCCCTCACTTGTCTGTGTATCTCATTCTTCCTGGACATGAGACAAGAATTCAAGGACCCACCTAATGGTGGGGCTGAAAGAGCTGTAACACAAACAGGTCTTAAACATGCCTCTTGCATACCATGTTGCAGGTGACAAGAAGGACAGAAGAGCTTTAGCCCTTCAGGGAGCACAGACTTAGGAGCTCACTGAGCCAGAGCTGTGACACCCTCTTTGAGGCTCTGTGGTTTCTGGCATCTCCAGGTTTCTGGGTGCCACTGCATTCCCAGTGCCAACCTGGAAGCTGCTTGCAGTATGCCTGGTCCAGCCACAGCATCACAGGGAGTCGGTGCCTCTGCTGGCACCTGGAGCTGCCCTCTCCTTCACAGCTGGCATGCCTGGCTGTGCTCAGTGGCCAGATCTCATGCTCACTCACTCACACACCGCTCACCACTCCACATCTGGCTTGCCCTTGGCAGGTGTGGGATCCAGGCTGGTAGCATGAGCCAAGCGCAGTCTGCCAGGCTGAGTGGGCAGAACAAGCCCGGTGTGCCCAAGCAAAACTCGGGCAAAGGTTCCACTGGCCACAGAGGTTTCCAGCTGGAAAAGTGACACCCTAAGGAACCTGTGACATTTTTATTTAAAAATAACGCATCAAAATATAAGAAGCAAAAACTGGTAGAATTGAAAAATAAAATAGACAAATCCAAATTATCCTTGGAGATTTCCACAGAAAACTCCCAACAATTGCTAGAATTGTGAAGATCAGAAAAAATAGAGACACTTGAAAACCTCATCAACCAATATTGTCTAACTGATATTTAGAGAGCACTCTACCCAACAATAGAAAACCCACACCTTTCAAGTGCACATAAAACACCAAAATAATCTGGGCCATAAAACAAGATTCAATAAATGTAAGGGGGTTATACTCATACAAAGGATGTTCTCCAAATGTAAAAATTAACCTAGAAATGAGTAACAGCAAAATATATGAAAATTTC